AAGGACATTACAGTTTCTTCAAGGACAGTTTGCTGAGGAACATAGTGAAAAACTATTCAAGGCTGTTGTTGGTGTTCATGGAGCAGCTGCAGATGTTGGAGTGCTGCTTCAGGGCATGAGAAACGAGCACTGACTGGTGAGATCGCACAGTAATGGAGATTTGGGATGACAAGTAGGGGGTGCAAAACTTTTGGATGTGAAGGCCACATTCCTGAATCTGTGTGCTGAGCTCACCCAAGCACAGGGACACTAGAATGAGAGCTGCACTGACAGTAAAGACGTGAGTGGTGATGGCACTCCGGAAGCCTGGAATGCCAGATTGCCACCAGTGAGTGGGAAATCCTTATAGAGTTGGAAAATCCACATTAGGGGCTGTTGTCATTCAAGTGTGCAGGGCCGTTAATTGTCTCCTGCTACACAGGACTTTGACTCTCAGCAACGTGACACAGAGGATGGATTTACAGCAATGGGGTTCCTGAACTGTTGTTGGGCACTAGCCCACCTTCCCACAGAGTACATCAACAAAAAAGGCTACTTTTCTATGGTTATGCATGCACTGGTGGATCACTGGGGACACTTCACTGATGTCAGTGTGGGCTAGTCAGGGAAGGTGTATGACACACGCATCTTTAAGAACACAGGTCTGTTCAGAGAGCTGTAAGCAGGAACATTCTTTCCCGACTGGCAGATTACCATTGGCGATACTGAAATGCCAATAGTGATTCTGAGGGACCCAGCTTCCCTCTGGTTCATGAAGGTGTATGCTGGCCACCTCGACAACATCAAGGAAATATTCAACAATGGGCACAGCAGCTGCAGAATGACTGTTGAATGTGGTTTTGATAGACTGAAGGGATGCTGGAGGTGTTTACTCACTAGATTGGATGTCAGTGAGAAAAATATCCCAATAATTACAGCTGCCTGTTCTGTCCTGAATAATATCTGTGAGGCAAAGGGGGAAAAGCTGCCACCAGGATGGAGGTGGAGTGGCTTTCTACTGATTTAGAACAGCCAGACACAAGGGTCATTACAAGATCCCAATATGAAGCTATGCAGTTGACGAAGTCTTTAGAAGTTGCGTTCTGCAACTTAATAAAGATATTTTTTGGAGAATAAAACTAGAATTTTATTCAATGGGGGAAAAAAGTGCAGAAAAACAACGTGCAAAAAATCCACAGGCAATGTAATGCAAACTTTTAACAAATTGGAAAGCCAGCAACCATTTCAGTGCACAAATGTAGTCCATTGGGGCTACACATACCTCAAATGTGGTTCTCACAAGTCAGCGTATGTGAAGCTGTGGTTCTCCTTGCTGTCCTGTGGTCTGGAGTGGTAAGGGTAAGGATGTGACCCATGATAACACTTAGTATGCTGGGGCGGGGGTGGGGGGAAGTATAGGGAATAGCAACCATGGACGGAATAATGGAAGGGAGTTTTGAAACTTATCTTTCCCTTTCTTATTGACACTTCTTCTTTGGAACACCTCAGCACAGCACTCCTCTCCAGTCCTGCCATGGTGAGTATGGTCTGCCAGGGATAGGGTGAGGGAAGGATTTTCTGTTCCATGTGAAACAATACAATTTTGGTCCCTATTCCATGGGTACAAGTAGAGGGCAATGGCACCAACTACTGGCATTATTTTCCACATGTGGTGATAGTTTTAGATTATCATTTAATCTTGAGGGTAACAAAGGCACCGAGTACACAGCTGCTACTGGTGTCTCAAAGCTGCTCAGGCCTGTATGCTGCTAGTTTATTTACTGCAACGGTGCCAGCTGAACTCATTGTGAAGCGACATGGGAAATTGTCTACCACAGAGAAAGAAATAAGGCAACTATCCCTAAAAACACTGGTAAAGGATTGCAAAGTATCTCCATGAAAGTTTCATCAAGCTCTCTCAGGAGGATACAAGGGACATCCCTATGTTCATGAACAAACTGTCCTGCATGGCCCCTTGTCTAATCCAACATGGAATGAAAAGCAGATGCCAACTCTACCTCTGTTTGTTATACCTCTACTCTTTTGTCTTGTTGCTTGGCTGGTAGGACTGGACAGAGTGTGATGGAGTCTCAAACAGATCCTGGCTTGTGGCATGGCTGCAGCCTCCCACCTCTCTTCCTCCTCGGTATTCCCACTAGTCTGAGGGGTGCTGGTGGGATATCTGCCACATATGGCATGCAGTTTGTTGTAAAAGCAGCAGAACTGCAGGACACAATTAGATCTATTGTTGGCCTCCCAGGCCTTGGACTATCCCGGGCAAAGTTCCTTTAATTTCACATGGCACTGCTGCTGATCCCTGTTATATCCCTCTGCCCACACCCCGATGCAATCTGTTCATAGATGTCCATGTTTTTGTGGCTGGCCCACAGCTGTGTTTGCACAGCCTCTTCTTTCCATATGCTCAGGAGACCATTATCTCCTGTCTGCTCCTGGCAGGAGCGCATCTACTGTGTGGAGCCGGCATGGTTGGTTGGGTAGTTGCACGCAACAAGGAAGAGCTGTGAGGTGTGCTTGCCAAGGTAGACCATCAGGAAAAGGCATTTCAAAAACTTAGGGGAGGGCTTCCAGTGTTCGTGACCCCATGGCAGTGGAGTCTACTACACTCACACTGTGTTGACCTCAGTATGTCAATCTTGGCTCCATGCCATTCAGGGAGGTGGTTTTACTTCTTGCTGTAACAGGGCACTGTAGAGGGACGGACTCACCCCTGCGGCACCTCCTGCTGGTCGTCCAGGAAATTAGCTCACCAGCCTGTGGAGTGCCCTTTGCAGGGCGGTGATCCACCTTGTCCTCTGCACTGGCCCCGTGTCCCTCCCAGGACCCTGGTGCCCCTCTTGCTCTGGGTGCTGCCCCCTGGCAATACCCACACACACTAGGTCTCCCCTCCCAGGGGAACCCCCACCCACTAACCCCACCTCACCTCAGGATAAGGCCACTGCCAGTCACCAACTAGCCCCCACTCTCTGGGGCAGACTGCAGTATAGGCCACTCATCATCTTCAAGGGTGGGTTTGGACCTGCTGCCTTGGCCTAGCCCTGGGCTGCCCTCTGCAACCCCCAGTACCCCTTAGCCTTCTCCTAGGCCACAGCCTGGGGCTTTCCAGGCTGGAGCTCCCCAGCTCCTCAGCCTTTCCCCAGCCCTGCTCCACTCAGGTACCCTGTCTAGCTCCCTGCAGCCAGGCCCTTCTCTCTGAAGGCAGAGAGAGACTGTTGGGCTCCTGGCTCCCAGCCTCTTTATACAGGCCATCTGGGCTCTGATTAGGGTGTGGCCCAGCTGCAGCCACTTCCCCCAATCAGCCAGGGTTTTACCTTGCCCAGCCCAAGCCCTCTGCAGGGCTTTTCCAACCCCTCAGGTCAGGAGCGGGTGACCACCCCGCTACAGGCACTTATGTTGGCCAGAGACAAAATTGAGTGTTGACGCACGGTGACTTAAGTTGACCAAACTTTGTAGTGTAGACCAGGCCTAAGAATAGGAGAATAGCATGATTTTACCCCAAGGTGGTAAAGAACAAGGTCAAACCTGATGGGGGTACATTTAGAGATGCCATGAAGGGATGAGAGGTGCAGCTAGTCCTGTAAGGGTGACAACACTAACCTACCTTGATGATATACCATTGCCCCTCAGCATCATACCTTCACTTTAAAGACAAAACCAAAACTCCATTTTATAGTGAATCCCATCATCTATGTGCCTAATTTCCTAGGCTTGTTTTCTTCGTTAATCTAATGTTTAGATGAATGACTCTGCGTATGCCCATTCCTAAGGATGATTAAATGTTAGAAAGTGAGCAAGGCAAACAGAAGGATCCTTAAAATCATTGATATTGGTGCTGTTTTTTGGGATAATATTTAATGGATGAACAATTGTACCATTTGTCTTGGTTTCCTTTACTGATCTACAAGAACTGAGTCCATCTCTTTCTAACAATCTTTTAAAGGCATTTTGGGGCTTATTTCAAAATCCTTATATAGGAACCTTCAGTTCAGTTTGGAAAGTAGGTCACTCAACTAAGAACTTATTCTATCTTCTTTTACAAGCCATTTTCTTTTTCATTTTGTATTTGTGGATGTTAAAATTATAAATTGCATAGCAAGAGAAGTCTATTAAGATAACTGTTCTAATGACTGCTCTGTGCTAATTGAATGTATTTACTCAAAACTACTTCCCTTATTTTTGTACATTATATATGGTATATTTTCTTAAGCAAGATATAACCTAACCCAAACCATTTGTGTTCAGTCATTGCTCTTCCTTTTAAGTACATAAGAAGCATAACCATTACCAAGTTATCCTAGAAATAAAGCCTGGAGACTAATATAGTAATATGAGGTTAATGTAATTGTTTAGGTAGAAGCTCAAAGTTGCTGAAAGTCAAGGTGCATTGGTTTTAAATGGAAATCTAAAATTTCAGATACCAGAACAAAATTAAATACAAGACTGCCTCTGAATCAAGGGGATCTGATAATATCATTAATCATTCCTGTATTTCTCAAAGTCTCCATAACCCTTGAGACTGATATTTAGACTTCTAATCAGCTTTCTACTCCCTAATGATATTTATATAATATTCTCTGGCATTTCCAATACTCTCAAGTTACGGTCAGAGCAGTAGAGTTCCATTCTCTTATTTATAGTCTCTCCATTTTTGTGACTCACGTCTTTAAAAACAATTTAAAAGGCAATGTTGCTGAAGGTACTGTAGGAAAAGAAGATATATTGTTCTCATATACAAACAAAGATGATTACATGCTTGTGAAATACAGAAATTTCCAAGGTAGTGAATAAGGTGTGTAAAATATAGAAAAGTTAAAAATAGACTCGCTAGAGTCTGCAAACGTTTTTTTCCTTCCTTATTAGTTATAACAAAGCTTTCAAAGGGGGTATTTGGTTAAAAAACAAACAAACAAATCACCACTCGCTGTAAGCAAATACTGCAGAGTTTGGGGTTAGGGGAAAAGAGAGCGCAAGAAAACCAAATAAGAATAAGGTAGAGAACTAACCTGAGCATATGGGCTGCATTGAAGACAACATCAAACTCTGTATTGTCCAGCTCAGCTGCCTTCTTTGCCATTTCAGCTGCTTCTATCAGGCGGGATTCTTCTAGGAGAAACTGACCTGCATGGAGGATATGGATGTTAGCTCAAAAGGGGAAGAAGTAAACAGTAGGATGGAGAGTGACACATGTGAAAATCAGACATCAGAGACTCAAAAGGAAATATGTTTTGGAAGGAGACAAAATTGTATGGAGGGTGTTTTTTGTATTGTTACTAGTAGAATAGCAGAGATGCTGTAAATTATAGCTACAGCATATCTATCTAGATGCCCTTCTTTGATTAGGTGAAATCTATATGAGTTTCCATACAGTCAATTAAATATATCTTCACCATCCTATGTTTAAGTAACATTACATTTATGATAAACCAAAAATTCTAAACTCTAAAACAGGGTTACCACTGTTTAATGCAGTCTGTTGTGCATTGTGCCTGACTTTGAAGCACATACAACACAACACGAGCCAACTATACATAATATTTTATACCAAAGTCTTCTTCTTGCTATCCAATTTCTCATTCTTCACTGTATGCAGTGTTCTTGTAGCCATGTCAGTCCCAGGATATTAAAGAGACAAGATGAGTGAGGTGATAACTTTTATTAGGCCAATTTCTGCTGGTGAGAGAGACAAGCTTTTGAGCTTACACAGAGTTCTTCTTCAGGTTGCCTGAAACTTGAAAGCTTGTCGCTTTCACCAACAGAAGCTGGTGCAATAAAAGATATTACCACACCTACCTTTTCTCTCTGATTCTATATTCACATTATTACGATAAACCCAGGAGTAATTGCTTTGAAACCAATGGAGTTACACCAGTGAAAATATAGTGTAAATGAAAGAAGAATTTTTACTTTAACTTTGTTTTCTTAATTTCTCTCATAAGTAATGCTATTACAACAACCCCATACATTTATTATCCTTTGTTTTTAAGAAAAGTAACACTAAATGAGTTTAAAACATCTACATGGCTATAGCCAGTATGTACAAATCCATTAAAGAGTATACAGATTCACGATATACATTCATAGTGCACACTTTTTTAGTTGTAAAACTGGCCAACAGTTCTATAATTTTTGAACTAAACAAAGTACAAGGGGGAGAAAAACATAACACTCAGATATTGGCAGAAATAGAGAAAATATTTCTACATGTATAGGAGTTTCAGTCCCGATCAAATGTTTTCATCCTGAAGAAAACACTGAAAACCATGAAGAAAAATGCTGAAACACAATAATCTGCTTTGGAGAGAAGTTTTAGTGAACAAAAAAAAATAAAATAAATGACCATGCTGAACAGGCTGTTCTGTACTTTAATATGCCATAATAAATAGTAAAACTGCAGGCAGATACTATGGATAACAAAAAAGCTATAATAGTTGCAGAATACATACAGTAAAAGCAGAAAATGATACAGTGCACTCCAGCATTCAGAAACAATACTCCCAGTCACTGTTCATTTCGCACAGAGGGAGAAGACATTATTTACTCCTGGGGGAATTCTGCACCAAAAACCTAAAAATTTTTTGCACAATATTTTAAAATTCTGCAAATGTTATTTATCAATAAATAAATGTGGAGGCTCCAGCATGGCGGTGGGGAGCACAGGCCACTGACTGCACGGACGTGGGAGATCACCCTGCAGCCCTCTGCTCCTCCGCAACAGGCACACCAGATGTAGGCAGCCCAGCAGAATCCAAGTGTAGAGGGGCTTAGTGTGGGGGGATCCAGGTGTGGGGTGAAAGGGTGCAGTGTGGTGCAATTTGGGTGCAGGCAGCTCGGTAGGGGGTCTTGGTGCCATGGAGTTCTGGATGCACAGGGGCTCGTTGCGGGGTTCCGAGTGCAGTAGCAATGGAACTCTGCAGGGGAGTGTAGGTGAAGGTAGTTGGGGCTCAGCTGTGGGGTCTGGATGTGGGAGGGATGGGGCTTCACAAGGGGGGTCTGGGTGTGGAGGGCTGGAGGAGTGCGGCTTGGTGAGGTAGGGGTCCAGGTGCAGAGGGGGATTCATTGGGGTGGGGGTTTGAGTGAGGTACACTCAGTGGGGGGGTGCTCTGGGTGCAAGGGAGGGTCTGGATGCAGGGGTTGAGGCTTGGCAAAGTGGGGGTTTGGTTGTGGGGGATTTGGTGCAGAGAGAGTGAGGCTCAGTGGAGGGGACTGGGTATGGGCAGGTCTGGATGCACAGGAGTTGGGTGCACAGGTAACCCCTCCCCCCACGGCTGAGGAGTGATCGGGGCAGGAAACTGGTTCTAGGGGGTGCAGAGTTTCCTGCTGCCTGGGGAGGTTTCTGGGGGTGGGTTTGACCTGGTCCCTGAAGGGGAAGAGGAAGTCCCATACTCCCCAGTCTCTCCAGAACTAGCAGCTGAGCCCAGAGTTGGTTAGAAGCCACCGGCCAGGGCGTACCCAACCCCTCCCTCCTCCATGGTGATTTACCTCTCTGCTGGCTTCTTCAGACCCCTGAAACAACGCACCCATGCTGCCGGAGAGGGGTGCCTGACTGCTCTTGAGGTTTCTCTTTGTTTCCCCACCAGAAAGTCATTTTTCTGTAGGGAAGCAAAGAAATCTGTGGGGGACATAAATTCTGCACGTGCACTATGGTGCAGAATTCCTCCAGGAAACCTGCACCCCCCTACCCCCACCCAAAAAAACCCTCCAAAATCATATACCCATGTTTTACAAGCATATGCTAATAGTGCTGTACAAATAACTGAATATTCAGTTCTGGTGCAGGTCTGAAAAAATGAGAAAAATCATTATGGGTCAACCCAAAACCAAATATTTCAAAATTTCAGTGAACTAAAACAAAGTTTCATTTTGTGTCTACTGAAAAGTTTTTCAGAGGGTTTTTTTTTTTATAAAGACTTTTATAACTTTTTAAAGATACAATTGAGGGAAATCCTGAAACAAACCCTCTTTTTCAAATGAAAAAAGTCAAAACATTTTGTTATGCAAATGAGAACATGAACCATTTTCACATTTCAATTTCCACACATCTCTGCCCCTCCCCCCAACCCCCCCCCCCAAAACAAAACAATTTGCTGAAATTGACTCAAATTAGTGAATTATTTCAGATTACCTGAATATGCATTTTTTTTGGCAAAAAAGTGTTTGCAGGAAAAATTTCATCCAGCTCCAATGTCAAGACCACATGCATTACTTTGTATTATGAACCAATTATTCTTATGTAGGCTACACACTAACAAATCCCAACTGTAACGGTGCAGGCCTCACCGCTGTGGCGCCTCCTGCTGGTCGTCTCAGGGAATTAGCTCTTTCCAGAGCAGAGCACCCTCTGCAGGCCGGTATCCCGCTGCCGCTGGACCCCCACATCCCTCCCTGGACTCCAGTGCTCCGTTATCTGGGGTGCTGCCCCTGGCAGTAACCCCTCACTCTGAGTCTCCCCTCCCCGGGAAACCCCCACCCCCATCCCCACCTCGCGTCAGTCTTAGGCTACTGCCAGTCACTAACTAGCCCCCGCTCCCTGGGGCAGACTGCAGTATAAGCCACTCATTACAGGCCAGGTTTTTTTTGGACCTGCTGCCTTTCTCTGCAACCCAGTACCTCTATGGGGCCTTGGACAAGGCCCTGTAGCCTGGGGAGTTGCCAGCCTGGAGCTCGCCAGCCCCTCTGGCCTTTTCCCAGCCCTGCCTCACTCTAGGTACCCTGAGCTTCCCAGCAGCCAGTCCCCTCTCTTTCTGAAAGCAGAGAGAGACTGTGTGTGGGCTCCTGGCTTCACTGGCCTTTATAGGGCCAGCTGGACCCTGATTGGGGCATGGCCCCCAGCTGAGGCTGCTTCCCCCAATCAGCCCAGCTTTTCCCCTGCCACAGCCCTCTCCCGGGGCTGTTTTTAACCCTTTGGGGCCAGGAGTGGGTGACCACCCCGCTACACCAACATTAAAATCCTGAAAGATAAGAAAATCTGTAAAAGTTGGACCAAATTTCCCATCCCCTCAAAACCCAGCTTTTAGTCTCAAATAAAGCCATTAGGTAAAGCTCTGAAGGAAATAAAATAAGATTGTTGGTTAGACCAATGAGAATGGGCTCGGACAGCAAAAGAGAGTTAAATCACTGAACCAATTTCTTTTCGTTCTAGAAATCCATCCATCATACTCCAGATAACCTGGACATCTCAGAAGAACTGGAATTTGACTACATGTTATTCTAAGAATCAAAATAGTATTTTCTTAGTAAACTGCCCAGCTTAAGTTTGCACGAAAGTATATTTTGCAATTTAAATGAAAAGGTAAGGTAAATTATTATAATGATGTGCAGCTGTTTCTCTCCAACTGCTATTCTTTCTAAACTAGAGATGGTACAGATGGAAAATGGTAAACTTTCTTTTTTTTTTTCAGCATAAGTTTTCCCAGAATTACTAGAAGGACGACTTCTATCCTACATACCACGTTAACATTTCCTAGCTTCAATCTTACAAAAATGCATAGGCAAGCTAGATTTAGCTATCTGTGGATTTGTGATACACTTGTCAGCAATATTAAAACTCAAGCACACTCAACAAAACTCTTCAGGAGAAAAATATTTCTCTCTTTCTGCCATTATCATTATTTATGATTATTTAAATAGCACCCAAGTCTGCTAGGCCTGTTTGTGGACATAAGCTAGGTCCCTGAAGAGTTTGCAATCTTGTATGGACAGCATGGAGACAAGAGATGAGAAGAAAACAACATGAGAGTCTACACTTTGGATTCCTTCTTTAGATTTATAAATGCATATAATCCAAGACCAGAAGGGACACCGTGATCAACTATACTGACCTCCAATATAACAGAGGCAATATTACTTCCCCAAAATGATTCCTTTTGAACTAGAGCATCTCTTTATAGATTCCATATTCCATTTGCTCAGTTTGCAGTATGTATGTTTCTATACATAAAACCTGATGAATGTGCTGCAATTTGTAGAAGTTGCTTTAGATGCAACTGGATTGTAATTTCCCCATACCATTAAAAATGATATTTTACCTAGGTATTGTGCATACAGCCTACTGTCTGTTACTCAAGGGAAAGTTAAGGTGTTCTACTCCAGTATTCCATCTTCTGAATCTACAAAGTACA